AGGATTTCAATCGGAGCAGCCGATAGTTATTAGACGTTAATATTATGATGTAAAAAACAATTTCGCGTGACAACTATCCTTGATGCTTGCAGACCGTCATGTTGCATGAAGTGAATACTGACATGAAGCTAGAAGAGGCTGAACGGGGTTGGTGACAGCTGATAGACGTAAAACGATCATTCAAAATATAGGCTAATAAAAGTCCGATGGAAACTGCACAAACCGGTCTACCACTTGCAAACACCGGTCTTCCTGGCTTAAGATGTTTTCAGAGAGCACAGTAAACGACCTGAACCCCAGGGAGAATTGCAGCGCACCTCTAAATACGGATGTCCGACAATAAGATTTATCGTGAAAATTACTATACACGACAGTAAATTGAGTTCCAATGTGCAGACAAGTCTTCAGGAAACAACCCCAATGAAATAAAAAGATCAGTTGCGGCCAATATATGCGAGAAAAAGTGCGATAGCAATGGCAGAATGACGTAAAACCCCGACAACCAGCGCGCCAAATTAATTTACTGGTTGTTCGGAAAGGGTGATAATAAGCGTCACCATCACGAATCACTGAGACGATCACCTGTCGTGAGACGTCACCCTCTTGATAGAAAAGATAGGTGTGGTCCAGGTGGTGGCGGCGGTTCCCTAACTTAATTAACAAGCTTCTTTACACAAAAAAGTTAATTGCATTCTTTTAAAATCCGACAGCAAGACCCACCGCTTCAGTTTTGCCCCAGAGGTGGTTTTTGAATAGCTGAGGCACTTTTCCTTAACTTTACTAGAGTAATCCCACACTCCCATGCATTTTATAGTGCTATTAAAGCATACAATGAGATGGCCTAGCCTCACTCCCAGTATGGACACCATTCGAAAACCCAGACACGTATTTCGTAACGTTTTTGTTGTCGTATGACGCAGCTGCAAGTGTCTCGGATCAGCCGTGGATAAGTGTGGTAAAATCACTTTTATGTATGGCTGTCAGTTGGTGGATTGTAAATTCTACACAGTCAGTCCGCACAAGTTTGTCAACCAATGCATACGCAGACGGGAGAAGAAACCGCATCCAACTGGTTAAAAAGTTTGGCGAGCTCTTCCGTACGTGAAGAATGCATCGGAAGCGGTCAGCCGCCTGCTCACCCCATACGAAATTGGAGTTGCACACAGGCCAAAAGCAACCATCAGGCGCCGGGTCATGAGGGCGAAAGACCCATTGCCATGGCAGGAGTCGCTAACCGGATCTGGTGCAGTTTTGGACAAAGCAACTATGTCGGAGAAACCGGGAGATTA